TACAAGTGAAAAGAGGGTGACTGCGGTTAAAACGCTTAACTAGGCGCACCGGGGCGTTAACGAAAATCCTGCGGTTTACGCGCGGATTCTTTTCGGGGCGCGTGACACGAATCGTATTCAGAGAAACCGTTCGCCTGTGCGAAGTTATTCGTCCTATTTAAGGGAAGAGAGGGTGACTACCTCCTCGTTCAGAGACTTCAAAGGAGAGAGAACAGAGAGACAGAGAAAAAGAGGGTGAACAGGTCTCGGATAGTCAGTCGATTTCTATTGCGGCGGCGCTGACAGCGGCGCGGCCGCGTCGTTAGGCGAAAAACAGAAAACACGGACCGAGGTGGTCGCGTGAGGAGGAAACCATTCCTCTTGATCTCCGGGAGAGGATGATCGTGTAGGGAATAAGAAAACGCGAGCCGGTTGCATCGCGGACGAAGGAATTCGCCCGATAAAGGTGCAAGAACCCCGGCCGGCGAGTTATCAAACTCGAAAGGCAGGTCGGCCGTTCGCGGAATGAGCGACAGTGCGGCGATAGAGGGTGTGCGTTATTAATTCCAGTACCATTAATCATACTTGCGTTACCGGCAGAAAGAAGCGATAGACCAGTACAGAGTGAGAGGTTCGCGGGGCAGGCGGTTTCGCGCGCGGGCGCGCCGGAACGGGGAGCGAACGGGGCGGATGGGAAACAGAGAGTATTAATACAAACAGCGTTGCGAGAAGAAGAGAGACTAGCCAGCCATAGTGCGTGAGAGAGACAGAGAGCGTGAGAGACCTATTTTGTAATTCGTTGCTTAAATTGCTCGTCGTTAATTGAAAAAAACAAACAAACGAAACGAAGAAAAAAAGAAAACAAAAAATTTAGGAAAAATGTATGACCAAGAGCAAGAACAAAATGGCCCTCTTGTTGTTCGTTACGGTGTTCGGTACGGTTGTTCGTCCCCTCGCGGCGTGTTACTTAGAAGACTCGAAAACATTCGACGACTAACGAACTGTCAAACAAGAAATTCGTTTCTCGGTTTGGTGTAGAAGCGGCTATCGGATACCTTGCTGAGCGGGATGCCTATTGTGGTTGCTAGGTGCCATCATGTGCATCTGGTGTGCCCCGACCGGCGACCTCAGCGACAAATTGTTCAGGTTCACGTTTATCGAAAGATTCGTATTGTTACAGGCGGCGGTCAGGTTGTTGTGATTGTTCGGCGGTGACGTGGTCGGTGTTGTACCCACATTGGAGGCGGTATGCGGCGACAATCCGGAGCTGTCGGTAGTCGGCGCGGACGGGTTCGACGAGGTGTTGTGCGAGACGAAGTCCTTGCCGCCGTTCGCGCCGCCAGCGCCGCCGCTGGTACCGGAAGAGCCGCCGGAGCTTCCGGTCACCGTCTTCGAGCACCTCAGGCACTTGGGCAGCCATGAATGGCGGCGCACGAACTTCCTGTACTCCTTCCTCACCTGGAATAGCGAAGCAGACCCACCCCCCGAACGAAACGTTTTAACGGTGCACAAAGAACCAAGGTAAGTGCGAATGCGCGATTTATTTTTTCTCTTTTTTCTTTTTTTTGTTCTCCTCGTTACTCGACGGATGACAAACGGAAAAATGAAAGAACGAAATAAGATATATATATATATATATATGTACTTAAAAAAAGAAAAAGAAAAGAGAAACAAACGGAGAAGTGAACGTAAAGAGTCCTCGGGACGAGCAGGTTTGTTGCTTCGTCGAAGAACTGTCTGAATGGTAAATCGAGTAACCTCCGAGAATGCTCGATCTCGTACGAAGCGTTCGTGCGGAATTTACAGAGAAATCAGGAAAAGAGCGGTGCAGAATTGCGGTGGCAACCAAAACGTAAACGGCGTCGAAATGATAAATGAAACGAAAGTAGGTCGATGAAATGCAAATCGGATTACAGGATCCCGGTGATTTCGTCGAATAAATGTGGGTGATGTTGGATTGCCACAGCACTTTATTCGAGACATCATTCTGTTGTCATCAGGTATTGTTTAGCGAGATACTGTCGATACGAGATGGTAACACATGATCCCTGCCCGAGTGAGTTCCTTCTGCCTATGAATTATCCGCTACTTATAATAATATGAAGAATCCGCTTTGATACACAGTGCATCGAATTCTTATGTTACAAGTTGATTTGCCTCGTGATTAGTAATAATGTATCATAACATACGATAGAAACAGTTTTACAATCTTTATATAAAAGGAAAGAAACCGTTCGTTATCCTCTACGATAAATGTTGTAACGTCTGCGATCCGAGTGTCCGCGGCTCGACGCGGGATTTACATGTGAATAATATTATATTTCTGATGAACGAAAGATTACCGCGGCTCCGCGTGATTAACAACATCCGTTCGCAGTACTTGAGAGAATCATCTGCGGACGGGAGATGACGACACACCGCGGTCCCGCGGCATAATTTAAAGTAAGGTAGACGTTTGGACCCCGACGTATTCCCTTACCTTCTCGTTCTGAACGCAATGGAACACAAAGATAAACAGCCCCTGCAGACTATTCAATATGGTGAAGATGTACGCCATCACGACGGACTCTTGGTTCAAGTAGAGGAGCCCGAATGTCCAGGTGAGCCCCAGCAGAAAGACCAGGACGATTGCGCCCCGCAGCCATGCCCTGGTTCGATAAATAAACATCAATTAATCACACTGATACAATTCCCATCGCGTGGTCATCGTTCGCGGCGATGCTTAAAGGAGCGTGAATGAGACAATGATATTCGGTGGATCGATGAGCGGTGGTAATGGTGGCTACGAGAGAAAGTAGACGAAAAACGAAATGTAACAATATTGCAGAATTTCAAGAAGAAAGGGAGAAAAAATAAAGGAAGAGAAAAAGAAAAGAGAACAGAACAGAGACGGAAGGAATTCGAATCACCGAGTCGCGCGGTATTAAGGCTAACGTGCCAAATGATCGATGACGGTGTGACTTTAATTCTAATAATTCCAATGCTACATTTGTCACGTTCCTTATCGAAATGGAGCGGCGAGAACACGGAAGATTATCAGAAACGCTGTGTTATGCGGCCGAGGTGCACGCAACATTTCGAGCGAACCGCGAGACGCTAACGTCTAAGTACTAATGTCGGCCCCGTTTATACACGTGCGCACGGGCGTCGTGAACACGCGTTCCCACCGAATCATTAGCGTCGTTAATGCTTTTCGTGTGACGCTTAGAGCCGACCGGTGTCCTGTAAGCATCGCACACGCGTAT